CACCATGAATGGATTAAGAATCTGCCAACCAGGTATAGCAATCTGTGGTCGGATATTTGTAATCTGACTATACAGACAGACTGGCAAACATGTGGCACTCTTTATTTTCTAGGAGACATAACCCCAGGACTTTTTCCTGCTGTAGTCAGGTCATAGATCCTCAACACAACACTCTAGGTAGCTACTAGTCGTTTGGAGTCGACAATTCAGAATGTATTCTTTTGTTGTTGTTGTTGTTTGTTTTTTTGAGATAGTCTCGCTCTGTAACCCAGGCTGGAGTTAAGTGGTGTGATCTCGGCTCACTGCAACCTCTGTTTCCCCAGTTCAAGCGATTCTTCTGCCTCAACCTCCCGAGTAGCTGCAATTACAGGTGTGTGCCACCATGCCCGGCTAATTTTTGTATTTTCAGCAGAGATGGGGTTTCACCATATTGGCCAGGCTGGTCTTGAACTCCTGAACTCAAGTGATCCACTGGCCTTGGCCTCCCAAAGTTCTAGGATTACAGGTGTGAGCCACCACATTCCACCAGAATGCATTCTTTATCCCTGATCTAGACCATAGGTATTTAAAAAGAGAGAGAGAGAGAGAGAGAGACATCAGTGTAAATGTAAACATCTATAACTGTAGGTTCCTCTAAAAAAAAAAAAAAAAAAAAAAAAAGATTAAATAAAAAAAAAAAAAAAAAAAAAAAAAAAAGACTACCTAAATTGATGGATCTGGAATCCTGTAGAAGAAATTTAGGCCGGGCGCGGTGGCTCAAGCCTGTAATCCCAGCACTTTGGGAGGCCGAGGCGGGTGGTTCACGAGGTCAAGAGATCGAGACCATCCTGGTCAACATGGTGAAACCCCGTCTCTACTAAAAATACAAAAATTAGCTGGGCATGGTGGCACGTGCCTGTAATCCCAGCTACTCAGGAGGCTGAGGCAGGAGAATTGCCTGAACCCAGGAGGCGGAGGTTGCGGTGAGCCGAGATCGCGCCATTGCACTCCAGCCTGGGTAACATGAGCGAAACTCCGTCTCAAAAAAAAAAAAAAGAAAGAAATTTAGAAACACAGGATAGATCATTGTGTAGGGAGTAAGGTGAAGGTGAATTTGCAGCTAGTTGACTAATTAGCAAATGCCTAAGTGAAAGGGATACCCAGAGGGCATTATCCTTAATCCTCTTTCTCGATGTCTTTGTCTGTGCTGTAGATGAAGATACAGAAGGCATCCTCTTCAAATTAATGGCAGCTTTAAGCAAGAAGGAATGGTGAAAGTGGGAAGTCAGAGTTAGGTTGTGAACTATCTAAGTAGGTTTAATAATGGTCCAAAACCAAAAGGGGAAATTTTACAAGGATCTGATTCATTTGGAGTGTACATCTAACTAAAACAAAAAGAATAAAGAAAAAAGGAAAAAAGAAAAGGCAATCGACAGAATGGTTATGGAGTAAAGAAGACAGGAATTTTTAGCCATTCTGTGAAAAAAAAAATCTAGAAGTTGTGGTTCACCTTGAGCTCAGTGTTAAGACTGGGTTATAAGACTTGTGTGGGGGCTCATACCTCTAATCCTAGCATTTTGGGAGGCTGAGGCGGGGGCGGGGGATGACCTGAGGTCAGGAGTTTGAGACCAGCCTGGCCAACATCGCGAAACCCTGTTTCTACTAAGAATACAAAAATTAGCCAGGGATGGTGGGCATCTGTAATCCCAGTTACTTCAGATGCTGAGGCAGGAGAATTGCTTGAACCCAGGAGGTTGCAGTGAGCCGAGTTCGTGCCCCTGCACTTCAGCCTGGGTGACAGAGCAAGACTCTGTCTCAAAAAGAAAAGAAAAAGATTGGGTTATACCTTTTAAGAAATATAACAACTTTGTTTAATCAACAGATGTAGATTACAGATCAAAGGGAGTCAAATTTCAAAGTAGACACTTCTAGTTAGACCACTTTTGAGGTATTGCTTTCAGTTCCAGGTACCACATTTTAAGAGACAGGTAATTTTGCATTTCTAAGATGATGAGGAATTTGAGATTTATATCTGACAAAATTACAGCTGTCTTCAGATGTTTCCAGATGGTACATTTGAGAAGAATACCCAGAACTGAGGAACAAAATTTGCAGGCTTACAGATGACCTAAGTTGAGATCATTCAAATCTTTAGAGCTTCCAATGGAAAGAAAAAAATGCTTGTAAAATTATGAGCACTCAGTCATTCAAAGTACTTAAGCAGGCTGGGCACAGTGGTTCAGGGATGTAATCCAGAACTTCTTTGTATCTCTTTCTTATGCTGCTGCTAGCCAAGACAAGTTTGTTTTAGAAGGTTATGTCATTTGATGAGGCCCACCTTGATTATCCAAAATAATCTCCCTGTCTTCAGGTCAACTGGTTAATAACCATAATTACATCTGCAAAGGTCCTTTTACCATGCAATATAACATATTTGTGGATGTTATATTTCATCCTATTCACCCAGGGATTAGGGTGGGAAATCTTGAGAGGAGAGAATCCCTTGAACTCAGGAGTCAGAGGTTTCAGTGAGCCAGGATCACACCATTGCATTGCACTCTAGCCTAGGTGACAGAGCAAGACCCGGTCTCAAACAAACAAACAAACAAAAACACCACCACCAACAACAAAAAAACAATATAAAGAATACAAAGAAAGGCCAGGCGCAAGCCTGTAATCCCAGCATATTGAGAAGCCAAAATGGGAGGATTGCTTGAGGCCAGGAGTTCGAGGCCAGCCTGTCAATATAGTGAGACCCCTTCGAAAAAACAAAATACAAAGAAATACAATGGCTCTTTCTGTGCTATATGGCATGGTCATTTCTTCTGCTGTCCCTTAGTTGCTTTTCAGCTATCAGGTCTTCGGAAATTTCTTTATGTTCTTGGTCAGGTGGTCTCTATGCATATAGGTTTTTCTTTGGGCAGTGAATAGGAGATACGTTTATTCTTCTCAGTTTACATTGATTTCTCCCCCTTTTCCAATTTTAACTTTTATACAACATAAAACAGAAAACTTTTGCTGTATTCAATTGGTGTGTCACTACTGTTGCCTGTGGTAACTTAATGGTTGTCTTTGTTCATTTCAGGAGGAAGACACTTTGTATGCTAAATTATAGATTGGTTAGGGTGTTAAAGCTGCATTGACTTGGCCAGATGTATGACAAAGGGGCATTTGATAGTCTTTGTACTTCTCAGTTCATTAACAAATTGGATGATCTCAATGTAGTGTGGCAGATCCAAATAGTAGTGCCTGTTCTTTTCTGCATTTACACCTGTTCCTTTGGCAGTTCATTAAATTCAATGAGAAGGCCTTGTGTACTGTGACTTAAGACTTATTGGACAAATATTTCTGGAGTTCCTCTAAATCACTTTTATAAACCCTATTATCTGATGTTATGTCTTTTTTTTTTGTACACCTGTTTTTTTTTTTTTCTTTCTTTCTTTTTCTGTAAGTCCTTGTTCAAGGTCTTTACTCCAGCTTAAAATTATACAAACCATGTTATCTGTTCACTGATACATTTATTTCTTTGGGAGGCTGAGGCAGGTGGATCACCTAAGGTCAGGAGTTCAAGACCAGCCTGGCCAACATAGTGAAACTCTGTCTCTACTAAAAATACAAAAATCAGTGAAGCATGTTGTTGCATGCCTGTAATCCCAGCTACTTGGGCGGCTGAGGCAGGAGAATCGCTTGAACCCGGGAGACCTAGGTTGCAATGAGCCAAGATAGTGCCACTGCACTCCAGCCTGAGAGACAGAGCGAGACTCCATCTCAAAACAAACAAACCAACAAACAAGCAAATATTTATTTCAGTTTGCTTAAGGTCTAAGGTCAAAATTCATCATACCCTGGCTTCTATCATTTTTCCATATTTCATTTCTTGAAGCTCTCCGATAACATCATGGCTTTAAAATTTTTATTATGAGAAATTTCAGGCTTATGTAAAAATAGAATAGTAGAGTTAATCTCCATGTTCCCATACCCATCTACAACAAACAGAACTCAGGACCACTTTGGTTTCATTATTCCCTCCCTAACCTCAACCTCACATTATTTTGAAGCAAATCATATTATTGGTAAAAGAAAATAAGCCACTTTACAGTTCTTTGGCTGATCATTTCCTTTTTGTGTCTGTCTTTAAATGCTACTAGAAAAGTTGTTTTCTGGATTATGGTAAATTTCCATAGGCTATATTTTTTAGGCTCCCATTCACCATCTTAATTTCATTTCCAAATATCTTAAGTTCTTTGATCAGTTTTTCTTTGGGTTTATTCTTGCTTAGCCAGACACACGCTTTGGGGGCTTGGATCTGAGTCAGCTATTTCTTTTGTATACATTGGTTTTAATCACTTTAATAGCTTGTGTAGTAGAGTTTAATACCTTCTAGCCTACTTCTTTGAGCTTTCCTCCTTTGTACTCTGCATCCAGTTTTATAATTGCATCTGCAAATGCGTCTCCCATGGCAACAGTTTCACTGTGATCTTTGTGTTTTCTTGATGGGGTGGAAAACGTTAGTATCAGCTTTGATGTATGCTTTGTACTGGTAATTCTTAAACTGAATCAGGTTGTAAAGTTCAATGGAAGCCAAGAAATGGGATGGCAGGAACTCTTGATTTATGTCAAATCTGTAAGTCAGGCATAATTTTACTACTAGAAAATATTATGTGAATATAGATGTCTGCATTCCAACTTAAAAGTGAAACTGCATACAAATTGCAAGGAATCACACATTCGTTCTTTTCTTTGATCTCCTGTTGATTCTTGTACATTTCTGTGTGTCATCTGCTAACATGAGCTGGAAGACAAGAATGGTAATAAAACTTGACGGTTACAAAAAACTTAGCCAGCCATGGTGGTGGGTGCCTGTAATCTCAGCTACCTGGGAGGCTAAGGCAGGAGAACTGCTTGATCCTGGGAGAGGGAGGTTTCAGTGATCCAAGATCACGCCACTGCACTGTAGCCTGAGCAATGGAGCAAGACTCTATCTAAAACAAACAAACAAACAAACAAAAAACAACACTTGACAGTATGTTTAGAGAAGGGAGACTTAAAATACAACTTTTCTATCCACTAACTGAATTTCTTTTTAACTAGGAAAAGACCACCAATATTCTCTTTTAGTAGCAGAGCATCTTGATCCTGTCTGAAGTACACCAGTGTTCTGAAGGTGCATCTGGTTATCTGGTATGCAGTAATCTGACCTTTTGACTAATAATACTGTGTTTACTGACTCAGGGATGATTTTTAGTTTTGAGTCAGAAGGAATCCATATAATTCCTTATGAACCCTCATTACATAAGTGAAGTGCTTATAAAAATGTAATGTTGGCCAGGCACGGTGACTCACGCCTGTAAAACCAGCTACTCGGGAGTCTGAGGCAGGAGCATTGCGTGAACCCAGGAGGCAGAGGTACAACTTCCAACTTAAAATTATGAGCCAAGATTGCACTACTGCACTCCAGCCTGGGCAACAGAGTGAGACTCAGTCTCAAAAAAAAAAAAAAAAAAATCTAACTTAAGCCTATGTGAAAAAGCCAAAATGGTAATTAAACAGATTTATAGATTTGTTATAAGAAGTACTTATCTCTTCCTGAACAGAAAAAGAAAAATAGTAGTTTTCTGGCATGGGTTATGTTTGGCTGAGAGAAAGCAAGGAGTGGATGTCCCACGTGGCTTCTGTCCCATCAGAAGCAAGGAACTTCTTGAGAAGACACTAGCTGGTCATCAGCACTCAAGCCAGAGTGGTCACTTTTTAGGCATTCTAGTTAATTTTTGCAGCCTGTCGGGTCCATAGGAAGAGCCCCTATCTGTAGGAAGGTCTCATACTTTTGCCCTTTTTTAAAAAAAAATTTTTTTTTGAGATGGAGTTTCACTGTTGTTACCCAGGCTGGAGTGCAATGGCGCGATCTCGGCTCACCGCAACCTCCGCCTCCTGGGTTCAGGCAATTCTCCTGCCTCAGCCTCCCAAGTAGCTGGGACTATAGGTGCACACCACCATGCCCAACTAATTTTTTTTTGTATTTTTAGTAGAGACGGGGTTTCACCATGTTGGCCAGGCTGGTCTCAAACTCCTGACCTCAGGTGATCTGCCTGCCTCAGCCTCTCAAAATGCTGGGATTACAAGCATGAGCCATGGCACCTGGCTGCCTTATTGCCTTATCTTTTATAATTCCAATGGTTGGCAACAGATGTATTCTAATTCTCAATACATATTATGAATTGAGAATACAATGCATAATATGTATTTTCAGTCTATTTCTGAATGTTTGTTTCTTTTTTCTTTTTTTTGAGATGGAGTCTCACTCTCAAACCCAGGCTGGAGTGCAATGGCGCGATCTCGGCTCACCGCAACCTCCGCCTCCTGGGTTCAGGCAATTCTCCTGCCTCAGCCTCCCAAGTAGCTGGCAATGCAGGTGCCTGCACCTCATCCCGCTAATTTTTGGTATTTTTTAGTAGAGACAGAGTTTCACCATGTTGGCCAGGCTGGTCTCAAACTCCTGACCTCGTGATCCGCCTGTCTTGGCCTCCCAAAGTGCTGGGATTACCAGCGTGAGCTACTGTGCCTGACCAGGTCTGGATTCTTAAGGTCCAAAATCAAAGTGTTGCCAGGGTTTGTTCCTCCTGAGGGCTGTGAGAGGAGGCTGTGTTCTAGGCTGCTGTCTTTGGTGTATAGATGGCTATCTTCTCCCTATGTCTCTTCACATCTTTTTGTTTTGTTTTGTTTCAAGACAGAGTCTTGCTCTGTCCTCCAGGTTGGAGTGCAGTGGCAGAACCTCAGCTCACTGCAACCTCTGCCTCCCAGACTCAAGCCTCAACCTCTCGAGTGGCTGGGATTACGGGGGGTGTACCACCACATCCAGCTAATTTTGTATTTTTTATTAGAGATGGGGTTTCGCCATGTTGGCCAGGCTGGTCTCAAACTCCTGACCTCAGGTGATCTGCCTGCCTCAGCCTCTCAAAATGCTGGGATTACAAGCATGAGCCATGGCACCTGGCTGCCTTATTGCCTTATCTTTTATAATTCCAATGGTTGGCAACAGATGTATTCTAATTCTCAATACATATTATGAATTGAGAATACAATGCATAATATGTATTTTCAGTCTATTTCTGAATGTTTGTTTCTTTTTTCTTTTTTTTGAGATGGAGTCTCACTCTCAAACCCAGGCTGGAGTGCAGTGGCACAATCTTGGCCCACTGCAACCTCTGCCTCCTGGGTTCAAGCGATTCTCCTGTCTCAGCCTCTTGAGTAGCTGGGATTACAGGCGCCCACCACTGTGCCCAGCTAATTTTTGTATTTTTAATAGAGACACGATTTCACCATGTTGGCCAGGCTGGTCACGAAGTCCTGACCTCAAGTGATCTGCCTGCCTTGGCCTCTCAAAGGGTTGGGATTACAGGCATGAGCCACTGCTCCCAGCCATATTCCTGAATGTGTCTTGAAGATATTTCACCTGATTCTTGAACTGCTTTTTTTTAAAAAAAATTTAATATTAAAAACGAAGTTCCATTCATGTTTTCAAACAACAGGAAGACGTTACAAACTGTAAGCTACCATCACAGTAATGGATCTCTGTCAGAAAAATGAGACTGACCTAGAAAATAGTGAAAATAATGAAATTCAATGCACAGAAGAAACAGAACCAACCTGTACTTGTCCAGATGAAAGAAGTGAAAAGGATCATGTTTGTTGTCTCCTCAATATCAGTGACATTACACGTGAACAAGATGAAAAAGCCAAAGAGTTTATTATTGGAACTGGATGGGAAGAAGCAGTGAGTATCTTTCTGGGCCACAGCTTTTCTGTCTCTTGTGCATCCGTGTTTTGGTTCAAGCTTCTTTTTTGCAAAAATAGTTAATATTACCAAACAATATGGAATCAGTAACATGTAGAAACTCTGGAATAGAGGTACAGTATTACCGATGATAACAGCAGCGCCTGCTATGGGTACTTATGGCCACTTAATATGTGGACAGCACAGTAGCAAGTGCTTTGCATACATTAATTCATCTAACCTCTCAATAGCCGTATGGGGCAAGTATTATTCCCAGCCTCACTTTGTGGATGAGCATATTGAGTTACTCAGTAGATAATATGCTCCAGATCACCCAGCCAGTAAATGGCCAAGGCAGGGCTTGAATCCATGTCTCCTGGATGCCAGAATCCTGAGCTCCTTAACAGCTGTGCTGAATTCCCTGAGAGAAGTGAGGCATCTCTCCTAGCAGTTCTACTCAGAACTCTGTGGGCTTTTTTTTTTTTTTTCCCCCTGAATTGGTGTCTTGCTCTGTCACCCAGGCTGGAGTGCAGTGGTGCCTTCTTGGCTCACTGCAACCTCTGCCTTCTGAGTTCAAGTGATTCTCCTGCCTCAGCCTTCCGAGTAGCTGAGATTATAGGTGCCCACCATGCCCAGCTAATTTTTGTATTTTTAGTGGAGACGGGTTTCACCATGTTGTCCAGGTTGGTCTAGAGCTCCTGACCTCAAGTGATGTGTCTACCTTGGCCACCCAAAGTGCTGGGATTACAGGCCTGAGCCACCGCACCCGGTCTGCAGGCTTACTCTTACACAATTCTTAGAACCAGTAGCCGAATCCTGTATTTAAAACTATAAGAAAACAATAACAACAAAAACACGTAACATTGTAAGAAAACCTGGTCTAATCCAGTGATTAAACAGGATTGCCACACAAATAATACTTATTTTATTAGTATAAGTATGTCCAAAATGTGGTCCTGTATTTTTGTATTTTGTATTTTCTGGCAACCTATTTTAACAGTAGTCTCTGTGGCAAGATCAGGCAGGAGACTGTGGGCGCGGATGGAGAGTAGGTGTCCCTGGGTATGCATGGCTCCTCTGTGTTCCAGGACCTGCCTCTGCTCCTCCGTCTCCCTCCAGCCTCTTCAAGCAGCAGTGCTCCCCAGGTATGGGAAGCAGAGACCGGCGGTGCCCAAAATCGTTGTCGGTGGGACAAGGATGAACGGTTTTCAAATAAAATAAAATTTTATTTTAAATGAAAACCGTTCATCCTTGTCCCACCGACAACGATTTTGACAAGGAATTTTAGCTCTGAACTTAAATATGCGTTTGAAAAGAAATTTAGTAAGCACATCAAAGTGGCCATTTAGAAATACTTTTGCTTAGTGTTTTAGTATTAGCAAATGCCATTGCTAGTATTCAGGATTAACAAATACTGTTACAAATACTCTTATTGTTTAGTATTAGGTGAAAATAGGTATTATACTTTTTTTTTCATGCTTTACAATTTTGAAGAATTTTTTTTCTTTTTTTTTTTT